ATTTCGAGATTCCTTCAGACCAAGCTTCCCTCGCAGTTTAACGAACGTGGACAACAAACTCCGCCTCCGTTGAAGAGAGCGATACGGTTGGCTGCTTCCGTATTAACCAAACGCTCGTGCTTCAGAAAATCTTGAACAAATACCCAGTCACAGATCGTCGATCATTTACGTCGTTAGCCCAATCAGCGTCGCAGAATGCAGCCTGGGCAGCCTCTTGATCGTCACCACGAAATTCCTTCACCAGGTTCATGGTTCCCTTCACATACCGCAAAATTCTCCGTTGGGCAGCTTTGGTATTGGCTCATGTAGTTTACAGACGCAGACAAATCGGGTCTGCTGGCAAGTGTAACGTACTTCAGACAGCCTATCAACTCCCGGTATAGCTTTTCAGTACGTTGGATTGCTTCTCTCATCCACAGTTTCAGGTGGTATTCAATTGGCTGGCACTCGTCCATGCCAAACCTCTTCAGTAAACCTTTCAGATATACGTGTTGGTCGATCCCCGTAATCCTTCCGTCCACATCGCGCTCTATGTGTATTCCCATGAAGCTACTCACAGCGCCAAGATCTACAATCTCAAACTCCTTCGACGAAAGCATCTTCACGGTCTGAATTACCTTCAGACTGTGGCTGACAACGAGTATATCGTCCACATACACCGTTTGAAAAATTCATGTAAATTTCTGCAAGATATAGCGCACATAAAATTAACGCTAGATTTAGCAATATTGTATGCAATCTTGTAAACGATTTCGCTGCTTATGCCAAATTTAGCTCAAAATTAAACAATGGGAGATTTTACGCGATGGTTAAAATTCAGATTTTTTTTTCTGTGTAGAGAACGATGAATACTTTCTCCTGTGCAGAACTCCGAATATAGAGACATGGATCGTTGTCACTGCGTTCCAATACTGATCACAAACCGATTGAACCGGTCGTTCCAGGCCCACGATACTTGCTTCAGGCCGTGAATAGATCGATTGAAGCGACACACCAGGTCCTGTCCATTGCTGAAACCCTTCCGGTTGGGCCATGTAAACATCCTCCTCCAATTGGCCATTTAGGAAGGCGGTCCGGACATCCATCTGGTGGACTAACAATCGTTGCTGGTTCACCACTGTTTAAACTGCTCGCAAAGTGTTCAACCTGGCCACTGGCGCGTATGTTTCGGTATAATCATACCCATACCGCTGAGTGAACCCACGTGCCACTAGTCTTGTCTTATAACGGTCCGGTTTGCCGTTTGCACCAAGCTTCACTTTAAAAATCCATTTGTAGGAAATTAGCTTTCTTCCAGCAGGCAGCTTCGTTAGAGTCCACGTCCCATTGCGAGTCAAAGAGAAGATCCTCTACGAATTCTATGGCACTCAAGGCGAATCCCGCAAAGTCCATATCAAAATCCTTCTGCCATACAGGGAGGTTCCGAATACGACGACTTCGCCCGGTAGATTCCTGTTGTTCATCATTCGCTTCTTGATCTTCCTCAATTTCTTCACAACTGGTGATTCCGTCGAACTCTTCTTCAGAAAACTGCTGAATCTTCCTCTGTATCACTTCTTTGGCGACCGTTATCGACGATAGCATCACCGCTAACATCTTCGCTCAACGAATCCTTTGAGTCATAACGCACATAATCGGGAAGACACCACTTTCGGATTGCTTCTCTAGTTTCGCAACACCTGCTCCGCTGACCCTGTCGCCGACGTTCTCATCGAAGATTACCCATTTTGGCGTACCAAACGAATATGCCCTTCCATGACTTACCACTGAGCTTCTTCCGGTGTTCCATGGAAATATGGCAGTATGCAACACACCCAAATACACGTAGGTATCCGGCTTGGTTCCATTCCAAATTTCACACGGGGTTTTGTGTTCCTCCACTGTACTCGCCGGTCTCCGCAGCGGTTTCAATCGCTTCATTCCAAAATTCTTTGCTTATTCTAGAGTATGCAAGCATCGAGCTAATCTTTTCTACCAATGCCCGGTTCATGCGCTCGCTGACCCCGGTTTGTTCTGGTGTGTAGGGTACGGTGTACTCCACCTGGATCCCCTTCATGCGACAAAATTTGACGTTATCGCAGCGAATGCGAGAAATCCACTTCTCAAACTGTTCCTCAGCCGCATACTCGTCAAATGCAATGCACATTGGTTTTTGTTTGATTTCCTGGTCCAGCAGGCGGCATTTCGTAAACTCAAGCGTAAGTGTTTCGGCTGGAAGCGACTCCATTGTCGTAACCACAGTTGCATACTCGTCACCCAGGCTCAAGAGCAATCCACAGACAACATCGACATCTTCCATCACCGCTCCGATTCCGCGCAGGAGCCGGACGAGCGATTCGAATTTTGAAAAAATGTTGCTGCAATGCCTTCGTAGTTGAGCTCCTTCAACTGACGACTTAGGTGCATCCTTTTCGCAACGCTTTTACGTTCGAACACACGAGAAAGTGCATTCTAGATGGCGTTCGGCGTGTCATGCCCCTGTCCATACTCGATCTGGCTGTCACTTATCCGGGAGACGATGAGGGATTTACATTTCTCGATGAACATTTCAAATGGTCCTATCTGATTTGATCGATTCTCTTCATCGACTTTCTCTTTTCATAACCACTGCTATGCAAACAGATTTCGCGCTAATTCTACCACATAGTTTGATAAAGGAGGTTCTTATCTAGCGTCCAAAACGTCAAATACAACAGGGAAAGGTTTTGCAGCTGAGTTATTAACGAAAGAGAAAGTCGATGAAGAGAATCGATCAAAGCAGATAGGACCATTTGAAATGTTCATCGAGATTTGCGTTCCCTTTTCTTCATCTTTTCCATCTCCTTCTCCTTCCGTTCCTTTTCTCGTGCTGTGTCTTCTGCCCTGACGACCAATTCATTCCGCTCGCGAACCTCCACAGTGATGAAATCCAGTAGCTCATGTTCCTCCAGAAGTACCTCCATTCGATACTTCCACGTGGGAAAAATGATCTCGTCAAACAGCTGCACACGATGCACATCCTTTTCATCATCCATTTCTCACAATTTCACTAATTGGCGTTGAAGGCGACTCTGTAGCTCTTTACTCCTATGAGAAAATCCATAAGCAAACGTCAGACTGTGCGTGAAACATGGCGTACTTTGTACTATCCTTTCACTCCACCGAAAATTCCCATAAGAAACTGTCTATATTTATTACATTACTCGCGTTATTCTGGGCCCATAACCTAATGGGAAGCATGTCTTCCCGTGATTATCCGGATTAAGAGTAAAACTAATTTGCGTTGACTGCACCGTCGAAGAATTTGCTCTTCCAGCAAATATAGACAGTTTCTTATGAGAATTTTCGATGGAGTGAAAGGATAGTACAAAGTTTGCCATGTGTCACGCACAGTCTGACGTTTGCTTATGGATTTTCTCATAGGAGTAAAGAGCTACAGAGTCGCCGTCATCGCCAATTACGGAGTTGAAAAGATACGTTTTTAATCTACTCATGTTTGATTATGCATATTACACTGAACTGAAAAATGACTGTTGTTCTTCTCAAAAAGGGGATCCTATAGTTAGGTCGAATAGCGGAATTGCTATCCTTCAACAAAAAGATGAGTCACTTTGTTTGTGAGTAAATCTAATTTACTTATTTATGAGTAAGTGAAGAAAACTGGTGGTGGGCGTGTTAGTTTTATCCACTGATTTGAGCTTAACAGCGGGAAAAGAGCTCGAATCATGAGTTTACTATACTCACCTCTGATTACATTTCGTTTACATAATGTCTTTGAAAATCACTCAGTTGTTTTTATTTATTGTTGACAATTGAGTAGAAGTTACTCACACATTGAGTCGATCTCGCTGGCCGTGATGCCGAAGTAAATCCAATGACATTTCAATGTGTTTGGACGGAATTGAAACTCGTATGACGGAGTTTGAATCAAAAAGCAGTTTTAGATTGTTCACAATATCTCAACAATTATTGACTCTTTATCAATTCCACAAAGGTATTTTTATTTAGAAGACGTCTTTGATAGAGCCATTTATTTTTATCATTCAAACCCGTTCGAAAAAGAGGCGGAAATTAGACCTAAGCCCGAACACGATTCATTTCGAATTGCTACCCTCTTAGTTTTTGCATAATTGAGTAGATCTCAAACACCGTAAATCCATATCTCATTCTAACGCATCTAAAGTGGTCGTAAACCCGGTTATAAATTGAAACATTTGCCCCAGTTGATTGCAGCAATCTAAATCACTAATCTGCGGGATAATTGCACTCTCAAAATCAAACAGCATTTCCCATCCTTTTGGACTCCACTCTGCGTTCTGCCAACTCAATGTTTCTAAAATTCAGTCTGATCCCCTTCCCGGAGGACCAATAGCAATTTAGATACGCCGCCTTTATTCCCATCATCATCATCATCGTCATCGTTCAGCTGCTATTGGCCATTGAACAAACTTTCGCTGCTTCGAAATTGGAGCTCTGTTGACCCAAGTCCGTTGCACTGGTGAAAATATCTTCACTTGCGTTGCATGTGGATGAGGAATGAAGGAAGGAATTTTTAACAGTGCCAAAGGGGTAAAATGGCAAATCCTCGGTATGCTATTCGACCGATCGGAACCCGTTAATTTTTATCGGGAATAAATTGTATCAAAAGAGTTTGCTGTTGCCGAAGAGCGACATCAAACGAAAGCTACACGGCGAATGAGAACGACCGAAATTTGAGTTTAGCTTACTCATAAATCACATTAAAGTGCAGGAGCTCAGCGATGAGTAAATTTGCCTCCTGTTTTTCCAGGTTTGTCCAAGAACAAATTCCCGAATATGAGAAAAGTAAAGATTGGATTCACACAGTCTATTGATACTAATCCTAGACTGAGTAACATTTACGTCAAATTTCAATAACTAATCTCGAATTTGGGTCATTCTCATTTGCCGTGTAGTAGATTGATTGTATTTTGTTGTTGCTGATTTTAAAAGTCTCGCACTATTTCGATTGCTAAATTAGGATAATTTTTTCTTTTTTTCAGGCAATCATCGCATTCTCCACCCTCTGCGCCGCAGTCAGTGCCGCTCCGGAGGATTCGGCTGCCGCATCCCTGGCTGCGGATAGCGCCAGCAAAAGGCCCGAAAAGCGAGGTATCGGACTCGGGTACGGTCTGTCCGGATTCGGGTACGATAGCAGCCATCTCGGTTATACTGGTGCAGCCGCCGGATATCATCATCCGGCTGCCGGATACGTAGCCCCCGTTGCCAGTACCACGTACATCAAGTCCGGCTACACGTCACTTCCCGTTGCCAGCGCTGGTAAGGCCACCTGCATTATTTACCCAAAAGGATCTCAATAATTTTCCTTTCCGTTCAGCATACCCCGCCTACGATTATGGCAAGTACACTGGCTTCTACCCGGGATATTCTACTGGGTACAGTGGGCTCGGTTATGCTGGCGTCCCGGTGGCCGCCAGTGCTACCGGATATGGAAAGATTATCCAACCAGCTACCACGACCTACAGCAAGGTAGTCCACTCGTACCCGCACTATGGATCGACTGTGGGAGCCGTTTCGCCAGCCCTAGGATACTCCGGAATCGCCGGCTATCACGGTGGATACGTGTACTGAAGTGGCGGGACGCGTTGGACGCTCGGACCAGATGTATATTGAATTGCCTCAAACCTCATACGTGGTGTTCTGTGTAGATAGGTTTCTCTCTAATTGTGTTAAATTATTTATGACCATTAGCCAATAAAGAATGCAATTGTGATGACCTAGACGATAGTGTGATGAATTGTGTGTGTTTCATTAGATGATTCAGAGAGCCATCAATGAGAGTTGGACTTCGTCGGGCAACAATTCAGTTGGTGGTCTCACAACTGGATCTTGAATGCCGAGATCAGAAGACGATATCAACAGAAATTTGAGAGCTGCACTAGACTCACGTCTATCAAACACTACGGAGAGACAGAAACAAAATTTGCAAGCAAGAGTAGGATTGGAATCCAGCAGTCGCATATTCAGGAGCTAGTAGCGGTCAAGCAGTCAATAGAAATTTGATCGGAGACATGGGTGAAGACAAACGCAAACAGTCACCCAGGTTGAAAATCTCCTGCGTTAGCCGCTGGAAGTGCTCAGAAGTGAGTTTGCCATCAAGATGATTTAATTAACTAACGCTTTTTATGCCTTTATTATCGAGCACCAATTCAATTTATCCTGATGCTGTAAGGTAAGGTAAGGAAATGAAAAAAAGTGTGGTTCTTTTTTCGATTACCGATTCCTCTTCCCTGCTGACAGTCTCGCAACGCTCTCATTGTCCCAAGCGAACCAAACCCTGATCCAATCCTTAATCCATTATCGAATTACTTTATCCCTCCCAATTCATCCCTTTTAAATAGTGTGCGGATCAACTTATCTGTGCAAAAATAATCCAATCGCCTATGAGAAAGCGCACTTGAAAAAGGAACAAATCAGGACTTTCTATCGAATTAGGTATCCGTTTGTTAATCAAGCAAATTAGATATTGTACCCGCGATTGATTGCGTTTGCGGCAGCTATGGAAATGTACCAATCAAACGATAAAAAATGCTCCCTAATCGTTGGAAAAATACTTTTTCCTTTAATGCGTAGACACTCAGATTAACTGTCTTGCTCGTCTAGAATTAGCTTCCAAAATAAGCTTCCATTAGAATCTTCTTCTTTTTTTTTTCCTTTGGTTTGTTTTTTCCGTCGATCTTGTTTTCCGTGCTGAGCACCAGAGCTACCGACGTGCCAGGAAGGCAGCTCCCACACCTGGACCCTACCTATCGACCCATCAACTCATGAACCGGGGACCAACGGCTTTACTTCCCATCCGAAGGAAGGCGTGATCAGAGATGTTATGCCTCAGAACATCCCGGCGGCGCCGACTGGGATTGAACCCAGGCCTGCTGGGGTGAGAGGTAATCACGCTTACCACTACACCACCGGCGCCGTTGAAGAATCTTCTTAAAAAGCTTCTTTTGTAATCTTCTTTTGGAAACTTTTGGTGTAGAAAGAAGACTTTTATAAGCTTATTCGTGACTTTTAACTAATCATGTTTGTATTTATTCATTCGTGAAGTAAGCGATTTACATAGTTGGACGTCAAATATCAGACTTAAAGCACATAACATATGGGTCATTCCTCATAGGCTACAAAATAGTGAGTTGACAACCTGGAAGGAGCGGAATACCTAGCCCTGGTCCTCACAAGTTCGTACTTCACGCCTCCTCGAGTCATATGATAACAAAAGACTACCAGCTGAATCATAAACACAGGTGGGTGGCGTAGCCTGGGCAATGTTGCCAGTCCGGCAATAGCAAAGTGAAGAGGTGCGACGCGAACACTGGCGCGGTAACCATAGTACGGTGATAGAGGAAATGCTTGTAAGTAGCGGCTTATTGGCACGCATATAGCTGGCCCGATTAACCCCGGCGGGGCGGCTACGAGCAGAGTACTTCCCCCAAAGACGTTCAGATTTTGGGCGTTAACGATAGTAAAAGAGAAAGCAATATGAAATTTAAGACGTCTATTAACCAGTTTTCTCGAAACATAGACGGCGTTGAGCTTGAGTTTTAATTTCTTCAGTGCACGTTCATTGAACGCGCGTGTCTAGGCGAGTAAGAGAGGTGACACAGTCGGAAGAAGTGTTAGTTTGTTTACTAAAATGAACCGCCCATTTTGTTATGGCAAGTTTTGCTATAAGAAATGCTCCTCGTGTTGATTAGCGAAATTCACATCAAAGATTGATTAATTGCGTAGAAAATCAATTTGGCACGGCATTTGTGACCAGCATACACCTTCCGGTCGTATGAAACAGGTCAAAAACTGTCCAAATCCGCTGATACAAATTTTTGTTTTGAATTTATGTATAGCAAAATAGTGAACTTTTCGTCAACATTAACGGCAAAGAACTCACCAACACTGGGAGACTGTGAGTTCCTGCCCACCTGTCATTTCCCATCTCGCGCGCGTGTTACCTTTCGAACTCAGGTGTACCATAGAGGTAACTCTAAGACCACTGGGTCCCGAAGAAAATCATTATTATTTTTGGCTCACTCAGTACCAGAACAACGGTCCCAAGCAGTCCCAAGCTATTTCACTCACCCCTGCATGTTCTGCATGAATCCACACACCCCTGATGTTATCTGTCAAACTTTCATAGCGAATCAAAACAAACATAGTGTAGTAATAGAATTTCAACTAGAATAGGGTACGTTAATCGTTTGCTTGGGACCAATAGGCTACTAAAGTGGTGAGCCAATTTAAAATCGTTAGTTTCGTATTGATTGTTGGGTGTACTCTGCACATCGAACGCACGCTAACATAAAAGTACCCATTAAAGAGTAAAAAAAGACCCATTTTGAAGAAAAGTGGCTTAACTCATGAAATGAGTAAAACAGACTTTACTCATTAATGAGTATTCGATGAATACTTAAAAAAATTTACCCTTCTTGTTGGTTCTGTAGATGAGTAAAAAGTACCCATTTTATTGATTTGTGTTTTGCTTCATTGGGCTACCTGAGAGTATACCAATTAAATTATATAAAAAAGTGGAAATAATTAAAACACTTCATACTCTTTATTGAATATGATCACAATCATTATAATTAATTCGAGTTTATAAATCTCGTTAAAAAATCTTTGGCCACAGGCGCAGTTCACTGCTGGTCAGTCCGAGAGAGATGCTGCTTATCGCACAGGCCAAGATCCTACCACTGCACTATGGTCGAAAACGCAAAATTCCACGACAAAAATCGATATCTCGAAAAATATGCACTCTAGGGGTTTGATGTCTTGAGAAGAGTTTATCTACCAGATAAGATCTTTCTTTTGGTGTAGGTGGTGACTAGGGTGCACACATTTAAATGTATGCATTACTGTAACTTTACTCTGGATTTTTATTCTTTATTAGAGAATAAGAGATTATAGATAATATAGTATAGCTTCTTTTTGTGAATTTAAGTATTTAAAAGTGTTTTTTTTTGTAATTATTTAGCCCGGTAGGGTTGCTTTTGGCTTTTTTTTTTAACCAATGTTATCTCTAGTTCCAATCATGTTTTTCTCATCAAGGGTACAAAAGGGTACAGATAATATTCTATAGGTTGTGTAGGCAGAACCATGTTCTTTCAGAATATGCGTAGAAGTTTAGCTCATAATTGCTCCTTTTGGAGGAAAGTGTCCAGGAAAAATTGACTTTTTTTACAATAAAACAGGAATAACTTTCGTAAAATAACAACTATCAATTCCCACCTCTTCTCAAAAGAGGCGTCTTCTCATGATCTTGAAGTTCTTTGAAGATGGCTCTCAATATAAAACAGAAAGAAAAAAGTTAGAGCAAAAAAACTGTTTTTTTCAGAACCACCCTATCTGAATTTAGAAAAACGTTCCTAGAATTATGTATTGAAGAGATAGAATTTTGGTGTCCTTGGCAAAGTTGCTTGACATTAAATTATCTTTGACTTTGTGGAAGCAAGTATTCTCCTAAAACATATAAATAAAAAGTTATGATTTTTTATTTTGAAAAAAGAGGACCACTCTAGTAACCACATATGCTAAAAGGAAGATCTTATCTTGTAGACAAACTCTTCCGAAGACATCAAACCACTAGAGTGCATAGTTTTCGAGATATCGATTTTTGTCGTGGAATTTCGCGTTTTCGGCCATAGTGCACTGTTCCGTTTTTGGAGTTCTTCGCTAGCCTGAAACGGAACACATTTTTAAAATACCGTGTCTTAATTTTCATCATGATTCTAATTCTTACCTCGTATCAACCGGTTTCAAACTCCTATGGCAACGATTTTTGCAATGTTTTCGGTGCATTTTGTTTCCAATGAAACAAACAATACTCCTTTCGGGAATGATCACTACACCCACTTGTTAAAAAAACACAGCGAATACTTTTGCGTTGATAAAATTAATTAAAATCCTTTTTCATGACACATGACTGAGTTTTTATTTTAATATCATCAGAAGTATTAAACAGCGAGATTGCATTAGATAAATTTCTGTTGAAATCATATGCTGGATTATGGAAGAAATCGGACAAGGATTGGCATTGAATTTTGAGCATGATTCTGGAAAAACCTGAATAGTATTATGGAGAGATTCTGAGTAGGATGCTGAACGAGTTCTGAACACGATTCTATTAGAATCCTGAATAGTAAGGAATGAAAACCAAGAGAAAACCTGAGCATTATTCTACAGTAATAAAAGAACCGTTAGCAGGGTTTTGGACTCCCTAAATACCTTTTGTGGTTGTGTTAGTCACTTTAACACATTTTAGATCATTCGTGACTAGTCCGGGTATGAGGCTCGAACTCGCGACCAGGTTTTGGGGAAATCCTGCGCACGATTTTTAGAAAATTATAGGAATTAAGATTCCATAGCCTTTTGAAGAATTCCTTAGTGAAAGTCCCAACGTTTCTATCACAAGTACCCAGAACTTCTGTGACGAGTCGCGAGGACCTTGGAAAAAATCATAACACAATATTATCAACACAAATCACAGTTTCCCTTATCTCCTAGCCTCGCTGCGGTTTATGCCACAAATTGCATAATTTGCTGCAGACAATGCAATCAACATTAAATGGAATTAAATTCTGCACCTACCCAAGCCTCATGTTGTATGATTTAGTATCATAGCGACAATGCAATCGGTTGGATTTTTGGTTATAGCACTGGTTCTGAAATTGAACTCTGTTGAATGTCTCTCGAAGCATTTGAACTACACTCTAACGGTGATCCAGCATCTGGA